TGAGAAAAGTCAGTTTCGAGAGACCCAGGAATAGTAGCTCCAGATGACGGAACTAGCAGACAGGCCTTGAAGACCAGTTATTCTAAATACACTCAGGAATTTAAGAGAGAACAGATCCGATGAGGCTGTACTGACTTCAGGGAAACAGACTTCAGGACAAGGATATTATGGGAGACGAAGGGGAACATGTCATAACGATAAAGGGTCGGTTCATCCAGAAGACGCACAAATCTTAAAGCGTGTGCATCTGATGACAAGCCCTCACATCGCGTGACACCAGTCAGCCAGGGAAGAGTGACGTCTGTAGCTGCTGCTCTTCACATCTCTGATTGAAATACAGTCCATTTCCGACGTGTTAATTTCAGGAGCGCAGCGCCGTGATTCAGCCGCACGCGTGTATGTTCTGTTTCACAGTTCTCACCGCAGTGTGTAGCTGCTGTTCAAAATTTAAACAGGAAAATACTACACAGGCATCTGCAAGGGCCTCTTCGTCACCACAGATGTATTGAGTAAGTGACATATCCTGGGGCATTGTGCGGGGTGGAGGAGGGGACAGGGAAACAGCTGAACAAAGTTGGCTTTGACCTCAAAGAGCTAACACAATGGGCCTGAAATACAGAACCCACACGCAGATGGAAGGATTAAAAGATACGTCTTACGCGTTTTCCTTAAACGTCTGCCTTTCAACTTTTGAATCAAATGCATCGTTAAGCTCTTGTTGGCTGTCTTCCGTCTCGGGGTACGAACGCTCGGCCTTAAAATGCCGCATAACCGCTCAGTCATCCCCGCTATGCCCAAGTGGCGATGTGACCCCCTCCCAGGTTCCACTGGAGCCCGTGGAGCCAGACCCTGGAGGAGGGTCGCTGCTAACACGACGTGAGGCCGGGCTGAGGTCTGGGCGCCCAGCAAGGCTGTGACGGCCTCTAGAGGCCAGTGCTTTCCCCCGTTCTCACACCCGCGGAGGCAGCAGAGCCCTCACCCAAGAAGAACGCTTACAACAAAGGAAAAAAGGATTCGTTCTCCGGATGATTCACACTCATTTCGTTTAGTTAAGCCGGTAAAGCCCCACTTAAGATGAGACAGGGGCCACTCCTCGGGAAAAATATCATTCTTCAGTATCCACCTAGTACATGCAACTTAATCTTTTAAAATTCAGTCATGTTCCCCAAGGACACTGCCTGGGGGCAGCATGGGATTAGGATGGATTAGACTGGAAAGAGCCCTTCCTTAAATCCAAACTCGGCGAACACGGGGCGGGGCTCTTCATCACCTTTTAATAAATGATCACCCCTAACTTACTGATGCCCCTTCTTTCCAAGAAAGATGAAAGTAGCTGGCCAACGAACCTCCGAGCTCGCTGGCTCCAGGAAGGAGCACAGAGGCCCGGAGATACGTTCCTTCCAGTCTCAGCTGAGTGTGGGAGCGTCCCCGGCCCCCAGGTGCTCCCATCTCCGTGTCAGGTGCGCAGACCAGGGCCTCGGGACCGGTTAACTGGGACAGAATCCCAGCCTCGCACCTGCACCACTGGTCTGAGGCAGTGACGAGACATCATGACGCTCCGCGTCTGTAACGTGCCTCACTCTCGGGTGCATGCACACACGTTCA